GAACTTCTGTTGTCTGTGATACATGTTATAATTATCAGAATAGGAAAACAAAATTTAATAAGGATTCGAAATCCACCAATCAAACCCCCAAAATGTGACCTTTTGAACCGATTAAATGAATGACATCGAAGGGTTTTGAGTGATTCAGGCACTTTGACTGTACACATACGCTACATTGCCAAGTGATTCTCACGTTCTTATCAGTGTCCCTAGTATCTGTCGATAACTTCACTTTGTACGAGCCGTCGAATTGATTTAGTTGATTTGTCCTTCAAGGAGTTTATTACGTAGTGCTGGAGCTGTATCATTTTATTTATGGGTTATTATTTTGCCTCAACAACACTTCAGATTGCTGGCAACTGGAAGGCCAAACAAAATGGCCATCTGTATGAACTGCTCCAGTCAGACTAACTACATTTGCCTAGGCTGCAACAAGGCTGTCTGCAACAAATCTTCAAATTGCTCTGTCTCGGCTGATGAGGAAACACCAAGTTGGAAGATGGGAGTCTCTGTTCCCCACTGTTTGGAATGCTTCCAAAAGAATCAAGGGTTAGACAGGGATGACCAGGGTTTAAGTCCAACACCTAAAAGTAAACCAAAAGTAATCAAGCCCCGTTCAGGGTCACAGCGCAAGGCAGAATCATTGACAAAAGCAAATGGAAGCAGAAAGTGCCTAACATTGAAAGAGAAGATCAAGGTCATTCAGCTGTCCAGCAAAGGAGGGATTAGTACCAGAAAGTTAGCAAGTAGATTTAGATGCGGCAAGACACAGATTACGAAAGTTCTGAAAAACCATGCAAAAATCATGTTCGGCTGGAACTCTAACAAGAAATCCGCTTTGCAGAAGAGATCAAATAATGAGAAGTTCAGCAAAGTAAATAAGCTGCTATGGTAGTGGTAGGTAAGAGCCCGCAAGTCCAACATTCCTGTCAGTGGACCCCTCTTGATGGAAGAGGCGAAGCTAATCGCAGAAAGCATTGGAGAAAAGAGCCTCCAAGGTACAAATGGTTGGTTGCAAAAGTGGAAAAGAATGAACAACATTGCCAAAATGAACATCGCCGGAGAAGAGGGAGATGTGAGTTCTGATTCAGTTGACATCTGGCAGGAGCGGGTTCTGGAATTTATCCAAGGCTATGCACCAGAGGAAGTGTGGAATCAGGATGAAACTGGGTCATGTTGGAAAGCCTTGCTGGAAAAATCCTTATTGGAAAAGGGAAAGTGTTGCCGCGGTGGAAAAAACTCCATGCAATGAATCATGGCAGCCTTCTTTGTGAATGCAGTGGGATAGGAAAGCCCAGTTTTAATCAGCAAAAACAAAAAGCCCCGATGCTTCTCCAAGTTAAAGGCCATTTCCTGCCCGTGTGATGCTCACTATTACAGTAACAACCAAGCATGGATGCGCACTGAAATGATGATTGACATTCTTACAAAACTTGACAATCGTATGAAAAGCGAAGGTAGAAACATTCTTATCTTTCTTGATAATGCACCATGCCATCCCCCAGCACTTAAGGGTATGTTTTCAAATATGCGAGTGGAATTTCTCCCAAAGAATACAAC